TTTTAATAATCTGAATAACCTTTTTCCACTATAAAGAACCTTTTGTCCATCAGAAAGATTGAATGGATGTTGAAGGTTCCTCATGTAACCATCGATGCCAATAAAGAACCTTAGAACCTTTAGAGTGTAGAACCACATTTTGGTTCCCCAAAGAACCTTTCAATAAACAAATTGTAAAAGAACCATTTTTTTCTTTGTGTGAAAAACATTTGAAAATCTAAAGAAGCTTTTGTCCTTTGGAAGGTTCCATGGATGTTAAAGGTTTTTCATGGAACCATCAATATCATCAAAGAACCTTTATTTTCAAGATTGTAGTAAATCGATTTGTTTGCAAAAAGCCCTGAACGTAACCTTGACACAGTTTCACCTCGGTAAGCGTCGCCTGTTCTCTGCCTCATTCGGATTCCTAGACCCTGGGCTTTATGCTCCCCCTCCCCCTTCTCCGAGAGCGCAATTTCTTAGCGAGCTAGAAGTGCTGAGTGCTGCTGTTTGCTTTGTACACAGAAATTCGCTGAGGCTGTAAGCTGTCCCCAAACATCTGTTCTCAGGAGTCGTAAATGGTAGGAGAAACGAGGGCTAGAAAATGGTCTGCATGCACACGCCCCATACGTTATATATATGCAAGGTGCCTTAAGACCTTCCCTCTACCTTCCTCCTTTATGTGTGCCTTTGAGAAGCAAACAAATGAGTATCAGTTCTTTATTTTACTGGTCGCAGTGCAAAGGAAACTGATACAATGTCTGTTTGTAATGGACACTGTGTGTGGGATGTGAAGAGGTGTTAGAAGCTCTGTGTCTCCTTTTGTTAGTGTACAATAGTAACCAGCCATTTTAAGGACCACCCATCAGAAGCAGCCACATAAGTGAGACATGCAGTGGCTTCTAAAAAGGACAGCATGAAGACAACTATATTTTAAAATAGCCAGTTGGCAATATTCTATATATGTCTAAAAATGTTCTGAGAATTTCAGCATTTTAAGTATTTTGTCATGAATGTAAAGACAACTATGATTTTTTTTCCTCTACAAGCATTCTAATAATTATATTTTGATGGCTGTGAAACTGTTTGGGATGAATTTCTAAGTTTTTTTTTTAGTACTGTCAAACGATTAATCGCATCCAAAATAAAAGTTTTTGTTTACATAGTATATGTGTGTGTACTGTGTATATTTATTATGTATATATAAATACGCACTCATACAGTATATATTTTGAAAATATTTACATGTATATATTTATATTTCTATATATTATATATAAATATATTTAATATACAAATATAACGGGTGTATTTATATATACATAATAAATATACACAGTACACACACATATATTATGTAAACAAAAACTTTTATTTTGAATGCGATTAATCGCAATTAATAGTTTGACAGCACTAATTTTTTTAGTATTATCCAGGCAAATATAAATATATATACATGTATTTCTTATGTTAAAAGGCATAAGCACAAATTTTGTATAATTGTTATTTTTAAGATATGCTCATGTAGATTAAAGTTGCATCAAC